TTTTCGATGCCTTTCTTAGCATATAAAATCATGTGAATAAGGAGTTCAACATATTTACAAGCATTAAGAATACCAAGAATTGAATCAACAAATCAAGATTAACAAAATATTATAAAATATTTGTAACATTGTCATCAATCCTAATTTGAGATACTCCTACTTAGTAATAGTTGGATTACAGGCCAAGAAAGGAAAATTAAACATAATGGAATAAACAAGATTAATAGAAGATTAGAGTAGAAAAGAGAGAGAATTCCAATTTCTAGCTTTTAGAGTGTATTGCTCCCGTAAATCGCGTAGAGATCCTTTCGAAATCCTACCCCAAAAAATCTCTACTATTGCTTTGATCTTTTGAAAACTCTATAACCATTCTTCTCTAGCATGTGTGTCTAAGTGTGTTAATTATATGCCATCATGTTTCAATTTATATTGGGTGCATTTAAACCCTTTTTGAACCACTTAAAACAGATAAATAAGTCAACGTCCTAATAGCACAAATCACGTACGACTATGGTTAGTTCCACTAGCTACTTGTGAAACTTTGTTGTGTTGAAAACATGAATTTTGACTCTTGGCATGGCTGGTAGTGAAGCTCTTTGATTTTCAGTAATGATCTCCTCTCTTCATGTGCCCGCTCCGCGGCCACAAATATTACACGAGCACCTAGTGGAGTCTTTTGGGGAAATGGATTTCACCCCTATTGAGCTCTAATTTACTTAGTGGCCTCCCTCGAACTCCTCATCTATTAGTAAAATATAAAGTGTAAATGATATCATAAATAAATAAAGAAAATGTATGCTAAATATAATAAGATGTGTGATTATACAACATTTAAATATTGATTTAGGCTTGAATATTACACTAAATACGCAAACTTCAAGCTTATTTTGATCATTATTCACCACAAGATTTGTTACTAAACTTGATCGGATCTACATGCATTTCATTTTAAAATCATGGATGTGAGGGAAGGGAGATAGATTTGCGCATCATGTATAGCATACATAATATGAATTTGTTATGCATTTTGTGTTGTATTTTTATTTAAATTACATGAATATTTTAACCCCTAATTGCTTTCTCTTCTATAAACATGTCCTTCCTTTTATTGTAAAATTTCATTTGTTTTCTAGTTCAATCGCAAGATGACAACCTCAATGTTGGATGATATAATTGAACTATAACTAAGGATGGATAGTGGACCTATTGTGACATAAGATATGTAGTCATGTATGAAGGACCCTTCTAAGGCACCTAGTGGCTCTCATGTTGTGGAATCTGCTTAAGATCCATGTTGTGTTGTGTTATTTCTGTTGAAGACCAACTTATGTTATGCTTATTTACTCTGCTAAATTGTTTTGTTGTTGTATGCTTGTAATGTTGAGAGACTTGGTCCCCGAATGACTATACCGTGTACTTAGGTCAAATGATTTTAATTATGATTTCATTCAAGAAAAGTTTTTATCATGAGAATTACTAAGTTTTCTAAAAATTACTGTTAAAAGTACATGTTGGGTCAACGAGGATTATGACCTTCCTAACTATAAATTAAATATAAATAAATAAGTAGTTAGTTGGTCTGGAGTTCAAACATATATATTTTTTGTTTGTTTTCATAATATGTTCTCAAAATTAATTTACTAAGTAATTCTTTTTTATTTCGTCATCTATAAAAATATTTTCAAATTAGTATTATCAAACAATTTTTTTTCTTTATTTGAAAAAGAAAATTAAAATGATTTACGACACAGATTTTATAAACGGAAAAACGAGCAAAATCAAGCACACCCTAAATGACTATAATCGAGAAAACAACATGAAAAAGACGAGAAATTATTGTATGATTTGATCAATTAAGGTAAATGACACTTCAAAGTAAATTTTATTTATCTAATTGTTAAATTTAATGTTTTATAAATTTAATCACGTTTTTTAAATTTTGCATAGTTAAAAAATATTTATCACTTTATTTTATTCTAAGAAGCATTTGGTACATAAAGACTCTTTTTAAATTTTCTAGAAATTTTAAGTTGAGAAAGTTAGATACTATGTTTGGTATGAATATTTCAAAAAGTATATATCTAAGGAAGCTAACATTCTCTGAAATAATTTTTAATTAAATTTTCTAACAGAACATTGTTATGGAAGGAGTAAAAGTCTAAGATTACTGCTCAGGTATAAAAGAAAAATATGGTAAAATTATAATTATTCTCAACATTTTTAAATTAAATTAATTTATGTTATTTGCCCATCGTATATCCAAATTGCTATCTTGCAATTGTATATGAAGATTATTTGGACAGTCATGATGATAAAAAAATTTGTAGTCTTTACCGTTCTAGATTATGGTGATCTCGACCAATTAGCATATGACACCTGTCAAAATGATTTGTGTATTGGTTGGGAATATCATGACCCCATACCATACAAAAGTTTCTCTTACGTATGAGTTAACTTGGGTGTAATATCACATTCTACTATTATTGCTTTTAAATTTTTTATATTTTTATAATTGATGAAGTTGATTTTTTAATATAATATAATTTTGTTCTATCACACACAGTCATACATGGATGCACACATTTCACCCATTGTAAATATATTGTATTACTTTATCGTTTTGAAGTTTCATTTGGTTGTCTAAATTTTGTAAATAAATATAAATTTAATTAGTAGTGTAAACCCAAAACAAAGTCTACTAATTATCATAGAGAGTAAATATATATATTAAGAAAAAAAGCGAAATCTTTTAAGAAGAAGGATTAATATTCTTAAGTAGTAATATTTTCATTTTTTCTAAATAATTACAAAGTGCTTGGAGTCGAGGTTTAAATTCAAACAAATGTATATAAAGGTATAGTATGTGAAACATAAGATAATTAATAAGATTTATGGTAATTGAAAACTTTCTTACGATGAGTTTTTAAGATGGTTTCTTAATTAAAGTACAGTCTTATATGTACGGTACACAATTTACAAAACACTAAGCAAACTGAATTAAATTACAAACGCTAAATTAATTGAACATGAGATGACTTTTGTACAATTTATGTTGAGCACAAAACATGCTGGTATTAAACACGACCATGTTTAAGCTTGCACTAACTTAATGCGACATGTGTATAAGATATAAATTGTTTTAACTTAGACTTATGAACTATAAAAAAAACAAACAAAATTTTGAGTTTGTTCACCGAACCAGACGTTTTTCACATTTTGTATTTATAATATTTTATATTTTTAAAAAATCCTCAATTATATGTACTGAGGATTTGCAGAAATAACCTATATCAACAACCTAGATCTATTTCCAAACCTAAACTTTCAGGATTTGACAATTTAAAACAAAGCATATCATGAGACATGATCAGTGCTACGTAGATAAAGTATTCTTGGAAGTTTATTCGGTTTATTTAACATAGGCTCATGTTGTACGGTTTACAGTCATTGATAGACTCAGATCTTATGCGATGCAGTGCACAAGTGTTTTGCCAAATATCCAATCATCACCATCGTCCTTTTCCACATATATTCTTGTTAAATACATGAAAAATCCTCTTTTTGATTTAGTCATGTTCATTGTCATTCCTTTTTTTGTTGGCCATTACTGCACAAACTAGAATACACCCTTCAATGCAACTAATAATTTTAAGATAAATTATATTCACATTCTTTAGTTTATAGGTAATGTTTTACGTGATAAATACTTGTACAGTTAAATAATGATGAACAGTTAAAAAGACATGTAAGATGATGTAACAAAATTTTATTCTAAAAATATGCTATGGCTATTTCAGATAGAGATGCCACAATTACATGCTGATTATTGGAAGCTAGCGATCCGAGAAATTCCTTACTTCCATGCACAAAATTCTTGTAATCGAAAGAAGAAAAAGAAGGTGGGGACCTTTTATGTATAAAACAACCGTTTTGGCTTCTTTTATTTTATTTTATTTTTCTCTTTTCCTTAAAGACAGCAAAGGCTGTAGCTGTGGAAACTTTGTCTCCATGCCAAATACTTATTTGCCACTATCTCCTCCCCCTCAAAAGTTAGGGTGTTATGGGTTATCTCTCGCTCAACACATAGCTGCAATATGTTCAAAGAAAAGAAGAAAAGTTGCATTGCCTTTTGAAGAGTGTGAACATTTTGAATGTTTATTAGTGCTCTTTTAATTTTGAATGTTTATAAGGGCTTTAATGACCACTAATTGGTGGGGTCACATGCTTTTTCAAATTCTCTTTTTCTTTAACTTTCTGAGTCTGTAATGATTTTTAGATCGAGTTCTTTGAATATCTTTATGTTTTAGAGAACCTTTTGGTCATCGGGATGACAGCTTCAATGATAAGTTGCATATTGATGATCACATAATAAACACGAAGATAAGCAAAATGATCAGCTTAATTTGTTTGGATATTGTGTTGGAATGGTCAAGAATAAAAAATCATATATATATATATAATTTAGTGATATCGTGTGAAATTTAATAAAAAATATTATATAAAGTTAGAAATTTTAAATATTTTTTAAACAAGAATAAATTTTATTCATTTAACTATTAAATTTTTTTTTATTTAATAAACGGGACCTAAAAACACAAAAACAACACAACTAAAAAATAGATCTAGGGACTCAAGTCTCCAAATAATCCAAATTTAAAAAAGGAATTAAAGATAGAGGAGCCTCGTCAAAGCTAAAAGAAAAAACTTACAATCAAAATCCAACTTAACTAACTAATCAGCACTTTGATTAACTTCTCCCAACACATGACTAAATCTAATAAACTTAAAATATAGTAATAAACTTCTAATCTCACTAATAAGAGGGAAACAAGGATGATTACAGTTCTAAAAGTTAACTATTAAGGATATAGGTTCTTTTGAATCACATTCTATTCAAATAAATTAGATTTCTTTATAAATGACAAGATGAAGGCCCCAATATACCGCTCATAACTCTATAGTCAGAAGGAAACACAGATCCAAGGATTTGTAGAAACCTGCTACCAGTCTACCATGGTTGTCTCTAATAAGTCATCCACAACTAGCTGCTCTAACTGCAAGAGAAACAACTTCATCCATATTTAATTTTAGCTATTGGCTCAGAGGGGGATGCTATTTGGTAAGGCACTCAGTACCCTGCCAAATAGATCCAAAATTATGGTTCACCCTGCCATAAAAGAGAAGATAACTAAAATCGGCTTTAATTTTAAACAACAAAGACTCATTACTAAGGGGAGAGTTCTGAAAAATGTCCTTATTTTTATTATTCCATAGGTTCCATACAACAAAACCAAAAAGTAATTGCCAGTAAGAATGAATGGAAAGACTGACTTTAGACAAATTAAATTTTAGCCAGCTAGGTAACCCTGTGCTAAAAAACAAAACATAGTTGTCATGAGGGATCAGCTGGATCCAAATCTGGCTAGTAAACCAGCAGTCCCTTAAGACATGAGTTATAGTTTCATCAGCATCCTTCCACCTAGAACAAGAAGGAGAGTTAGTCATTCCACGATTATATCCTTCAGCATTAGGAAGAAGCTTTCCATGAGAAATTTTCCATAAGAAAAAAATTATTTTGGGAGGGTCCTCCCATCTCCAAACCAAGTTAAAAAGGTTGCAAGGCAGAGCTTGATCCTGATCAGAACAGGAGATGAGGTTAAAAGCTAATTTAACAGAGAAAATACCATTTCTAGTGAGTCTCCAAATTGATCATTCCCCCTGCAAGGGACGGGGGATTAATTTTACTGATTAAATCACAAATATAGGTAGGGACAAGGGTCTTAATTCTAGACCAGTTCCATTGATTATTCTAAGAAAACATGGTCATCGGTTCACTAACCTTGGTATCAAGAACAGGCTGGAGTGCTAATTGAGAAAGATTATGTTGGGGAAGAAGCCAGCTATCCTCCCAAAATCTAATAGTTATACCATCACCCAAAATTCAGGCAAGTCCATTATAAAAATTCTTGCACACCAAGATAATGCTTCTCCAAAGATGGGAACAGTTCTAGTATGACACAGAACTAGGATTCTTACCAAGAGAGAAATTATACTTGTTGTAAATGACCTAGGCCCACAGATCATTTGGAGATGTTAAAAGCCTCCAGCAAAGTTTCATAATATATAAGACTTGTTCACTAGAGAGGACTCCATAAAGCCTAGACCTCCATATTTTTTAGCTCAACCTATTAAATGTCATTTTCTGCCACCTAAGGAACTACAAATGAACCTCATACATATAGTATCTATGTCCTTACAAACTGACAAGGGGAGTAGCATAGACTACATAAAATAGGTTAGAATGCTCATGATGGGAGATTGAGCAAGAGTGACCTATCAACTATAGATAAGGAATTCATTTTTCAGAGGGAGAGTTTCTTGCTAATTTTCTCAACTAGAAAAGCAAAATCTTGTTTACTAGGGTAATAAAGGTGACTAATAGAAATACCTAAGTCTTTACCAACTTTGGGAGAAAGGCTAATCTCTAACCTACTACTGATGTCTCGAGATAAGACTGGATCACAATTTTTACAGAAAATGACAAAAGATTTCTCCTTATTGATAGACAGGCCAAAGGCAGAACAAAATTCACTAAGGACAAAATTAACCACTTTAGTATTATATACATCAGCTTCAGCAATTAAGACAAGGTCATCAGTAAAACATAAATGAGATTCTAGGCCCTTTATGAGCAAAAGAGAAAGGAGTCCAGTCCCTATTATTCATTTTGTCTTGAATAAAGTAGGCTAATCTTTATATGCAAAGAACAAAAATATAGGGGAAAATGGGATCCCCCTGTTTAATTTCCCTATAAGGTTTAAAATTTTCATTTTTACTATTATTTCAAAGGATGGACATGGAGGGAGAGGAAATATAGTGATAAATGAGATCATTTAAGGCAGGGGAGAACTCAATATTTTGAATGGTGTCTTTGATAAAACTCCATCTGAGCCTGTCATAGGTCTTCTCTAAATCTAACTTAATAATCATATAGCCATTTTTATTCTTTAGTTTATTGAAAGAATGAACTAGCTTCTGAAGGATTAAGGTGTTATCTATGCCCTGTCTTTCAGGAATGAAGCTGGATTGGTTGGCAGAAATTAAGTGGTGTAGAGATCCCTTGACTCTGTTAGCTAATATCTTTGTAATAATTTTATAACTAACATTGCATAATGAAATAGGCCAAAAATTTTTAAGATGATCAAGATTATCAATTTTAGGAATAAAGGCTATAACAGTATCATTTACCTCAACAATCCTAGAAGGGTTATTAAAGATATTTGTCACAAACTCAAAAATAAAAGGGGCTGAAAACTCCCATTAACTTTTATAAAACAAAGCATGAATATGCCATCGGGACCAGGGAATTTAAAGTTTCCTATGTTGAATAAAGAGAATTTTATTTCTTCCATTGACAGATGACCATTTAGGACAGCCAACTCAAAGTCCTTAAGAGGAGGGAAAGAAGAAATAGTAATTAGAGGAGGACTATTAGGGTATGGGTCAGAATAAATGTTTTTAAAATAATTAACAGCAAGAGTTTGCAAATTCAGGAGGTCAAATTCCCAGTTGTTAGAATTATCTCTAAGGGCTTCAATAACATTTCTTTATCTGCGAATTAAAATTGCCTTATGGTAGAAACTATTGTTTCTATCTTCCAGCCTAAGCCAATTTGATTTGTAATGGTGGAGCCAAAATAGTACTTAGGAAGGGGTTATCCTTCAAGGCCAGCTTATTTGAAATTCCCCTAATAAAATTTAGAAGTCACTTCTACCTATTAAAAATATTAGCAATAGTATTCAAGTTCCATTTAGATAAGTTTTTCTGGAAACTAGTAATGTTTTCAAACCAAGGTCTAGAAGGAATTTAGGAGTTTTTAACTTGATTAGAGAAATATTTATGAGAAATCCAGGGAGTCAAAAACTTAAAAGGTTTATTATGAGGCACAAAATCATTATTATCTCTAACTTTGATTTAAAGCCCATCATTGTCATATTTTAGGAGAAGGAGATGTATAACAGAACTGTTAGGGAACAACATTCTTCAAGAGTCATTAACCACAACTCTATCAATTCTTTCCCTAATATTACCTTTATGCCAAGTAAAGAGGTTTCCTTTGAAACCAAGATCATGTAACCCAAAAACATTTAGATAATCAGCAAATTGTTGAATGAGGCTTAAACTAGCAGGTCTGCCCCCAAATTTTTCATGTTGATAGAAGATAGAATTGAATTCCTTAACTAAGCACCAAGGCTTATTTACATTAGAGCTGAAATCTGACAACAATTGTCAACACTTAGCTCTTTTACCCTTTTGGAGACTAGCATAAATGGAGGATAAGATCCAGTCCCATGGACCATTACTAATATTAAGGTGGATGGTATAACTATTTTTAGCTATGGTGTTGACTTTAACTTTTTTTGTGTTCCAACAACACCAAATTCCCCCAGCAAAACCCCTAACATCAATTTTCACTATCCCATCAAAATTTATTTTTTGAATAACCTCATCAGCCTTATTAGAGCTAATTTTAGGTTTAAATAAAGCAATAAAATTAAGATTATGTATTCTAATCAAGTCATTTATTAATCTATGAAAGGTCTTATTTCTTGCCTCCTTACAATTTCAAAAAAAGCAGTTTATAATCCTACTAGTTAATATTTGTGTCTACTCATAATTAACCCATCTTTTATTCTAATAGACTCTAATTTTTTTATTGATTCATGAGCTATTAATATTGGATCATCAGGGAGTCTATCAGTGGGAACTTGTTTCTGGAAATCATGATTCTTCCACAAAAGATCAAAATTCTAGCCTATGAGGTCTTGTATAGAGTTTCCTAATTTTGAATTCTTCTGAATAATATTTTCAAATTTATAAGGAGAAAAGTATCTCTGCTCTCTTGATCTTCAGTAGTTTCATTATATTCCATCATATCACATGGGGGCTCAATTCTCTCTAAGATTAACACATCATTTTTTTCCTTGCCTAATTTCCTAGGTTTAGAAGAAGGTCTATCCTTTTTAAAGGATCCATTTAATTTGGATCCACTTGGAGGATTATGACTCATTTTATTGCTAGTCTGGTCTCTAGTTAGTGACTTGTGATTAACTATAGAATCCTTATTACTTAAGTTATCTGAGTCTCTTATCTGGTTTTGAATCTGGTCAAAGGTCCCAAGGATATCAAATCTAGATCCTAACTGAGGTTCTTTTTTCCTACCAAGGTGCCCAGGAGTACTTGTTGTGTGAGGGGAATTGATTCTCTTCCTGAAGGGTTTTTTTACTAGAATCCATGGACCAAATTGATCCTTTTTTAAAAAGAGGTGTGCTCTTGATTAGTCATTAACATATCCTTAACTACCTCAGGGTTAGTCACTTCCTTTTCATCCTTAGTAGATTTATCACTTTTATTTACATTATGCTCTATCACATTGATCTTGCCTATGCCCATATTTCCCACACCTGAAGCATATAAGATGTAGACCTTTATATTTCACTCTAAATTCATGGTCTAGGACTTTAAAGGCTGGCACAAGCTTCCTCCTTAGGCCTATTTCTATACAGATCCTAGCAAATTTTCTTCTGGATACTAGGAAAGTGTGGGAGTTAACTTTTAGTATAGAACCTAGACAATTTCCTACTTGCCATAAAAACTTATTATTATAGAGTTCCAAAGGTAGGTCAGGTATACCCACCCAAACTACAATCTTTTGCAGGTTTTAGTCTTTAAAAGGTAGTGATCCAGGATTAGCTAGGATCCTTTGAACATAGCATGCTTATAGTCTTTTAGGCTTTCAAACTTGACTAGAAAAAAGTCGTTATTGAGGTTAAGAATTTTTAAGACTTCCTCCTTCCCCCAAATATTACCTAGTTTCTGATTTAGATAACTAAAGCTAGCTGTTTTACCTAAAAAGCTTCACAATTAGAGTTAGCTTCCAGGGAGAACACCAGTTTTCATAATCATCTAGCAGAATTTTAATATTAGGGCATAACTCCCTAGGACTATCAAGAATATCATTCCTTTCATCATATTCAAAAGAGGTATTAAACACATCCAATATAGATTTTAGTATTTTTTTCATTGGTCATAGCTAAATATAGGTCATTTAACATCATCACAGCGTATATCCTTTTGCATGTCCAAGATCACAACCTCAGTTGAGTCCTCTACGCCTCTTTTAATATTTTTCTTACTACAGTCTAATAGATACAACTCTTTTGTAGATTGCTTTTCAGTTTCATGTTGCTCTATTACTTTCGGCCCACTAAAGCAGTGGAAAAAAAGTCACACACCTTTTCTCATAAACGCTTCAAAGAATTGATTCATACATTGAAAACTTCCAATCCCCGCTGGCCGACTAGAGATAGAAGACCCAGCAACACCTTTCTTGCTGTCTTGAAAGGAAAAGAATCTAAGATTCTTGGAGTCTTTAAAAAATCATGTGATCTTTACTTATTTAACTATTAAGTTTTATAAATTCATAATGTATATAAAGTATATTAAAAAAATTATTATTTACTAATATAGTAAAAAATTGTCAAGTGTTAAAGATAATATCTATTAATAAATTCTTTTTAAGATATTTCAATTCGATGATGGATAGTTTATAAAAAATATTAGGATAATCAATTTATATTTTTAACTTATAAGTTCTACAAAAATTGTTATTTAATAATTTTTAATTTTATATAAACTTTAATATAAATATTTATATTTATATTTATAAAAATATTTTATTACTGTTTATAAAATTTTAAATTCTTTGTAAATACTTATGTTTATATTTATAAAAAAAATTCATTATTTTGTATAAATTTTAAATTTTTTTATAAATATTTGTGTATATTTCTAAAAGATATGAGTTGAGTGTACTCCAAATAAAAGAAAGTTTATCCTCTCTAAAGGAAGTTAC